CGGCCCGGGCCGCCGCGGCCCTTCGCCACCCGGCCCCACCTTGGCCCGGGCAGCCACGCCCCTTCCCCATCCTCCTGCTGCCGCTGCCGCCAAGCTCTCCGCCGCCCGGCCCCACCTTTAAGTTTTTTTCCTGAAATTTCCCTTAAAATGAAGGTGCGTGTTATACGCCTGTGCATGTTATACGCCAATAAATACGGTATCTCAAAGTTGAAAAGGTAAAGGTTTCCCATGTGCAGTCATGCCCAACTCTAGGGGTCAGTCCTCATCTCTGTTTCTTAGCCAAAGGTGCCAACAATGTCTGAATATGGTTCTGCAGTCATATGGCCAGCATGACTATATACCAAGGTACAAGGAATGTTGTTACCTTACCACCCAACTGGTACCTATTCACCTACTTGCATTTGCATGCTTTCAAACTGCTAGGTTGTCAAGAGCTGGAGCAAGTAATAGGAACTCACCCTGTGACACAGCACTCATGTCTTGAACATCATTAACATAAGTAATCACGCCCCCCATCAAAGTTGCACTTCCAACTATTATTATTATTATTATTATTATTATTATTATTATTATTATTATTATTATTATTATTATTATTTTATTGTTGTTGTTGTTGTTATTAAGCTGTTCTACTGAGAATTTTTATAACAAATGCCTCATTATTATTTTCTTGTAAACTTTCAGGCAAACTGATTAAAATATTTTTCTGCCATGGACAGATTTATTTAGTTATCATTCAGCCAATAATTGCAGGGCACCAACTCAGAACAAATGGCAGTTTGAAAAAAATGATTATTATTCTCATCATAGCCAAAATTATAATTGTTTATATGTATTTCCGTGAATCCTTTTGCATGTGAGACAATGTTGAAGCATTTTATGGCTAAATTGTTTTTTGAGAATCACATTTACAAATAAATACACATCCCCCTCCCCTTTTGGAATGTGAAAAAATGACAATAATCTTTGCATTCTTCATGTCTAATACATTTTATAAACAAATATGTCATTAATTGATTGTTGTTTCATCATTCAAGTCTTCATATCTATATATGTATATACATACATATATGTGTACAAACAGTCACCCCCTAGTGACTTCAAGCTCTCTCAATGAAGCAGCACATCCCACCTTCCTCCCCACTGTTATATCTTCGGTTCTTTAGGCATTGAATGAGGCAGAGTGTTGAAACAGCATCAGGTTTATTAACTCAGAACAGAAGCAGCCTTAAAGGCTGCTGCACAGCTATTTATACAGTTAGCCTCTAGGTGGCAACCAATAGGTTTAAAGTAACAGTTTCCCACCCCAAACCTCATTATCAGCTTGGAGACAGCCAGTCTGGCTTTCAGTAACAGCAACTGTTAAACAATACAGCAATGTAGATCAGACATTAAACAAGTGATTTAAAACAGTTATGGCCAATACATTACAGATACTAACAAGGTTGAGAATCCTTTGAGGAAAAGTGATTTGATAGACATTTCAGAGAAGAAGAAGTTATTCTATGAGGAAGAGCTTTAAGCAAATCTAAAACTTTTAATAGAACAATCTGGGACTTTTTCTTCATGGATATTAGCAAAGTTGAGAATTTCTTGAGGGAAAGATGCTTGGTAGATATTCCAGAGAAGAAAAAAGATTTTATTCCTTGAGGATAAGCTGAGGGAGTGACTTAAATTTAAAAACTGGAGTTAGGATGGATTAGGATACAAGTCTTACATATATAATTGAGAGAAAGCGCTAATGTAGATTTGGGTTTATAAAGTGGATTTGTAAATGTTTTTCCCTTCTTTTTTATATACAATCTTTGAATAATTTCTAGAGCTTGTAAAATATTATTGAAAATAAATCAGAAAATATGAATGGTTAGAAATATTTTTAAAGAGAAGAAAAATATGTTTTTCTATGAGGATAAATTGGAGGGAGACACTTAAATTTAAGGAGCTAATTGGAGTTAGTTGGATTTTTATTGGTGTGTTATATGTAATTGAAATAAAGTTTTAATGTAGTTTTGCATTTTGGCTTTTGGGTTTACAAAGTGGGCTTGAACATTAGGTTTTTTTCCCCTTCATATGTAATCCTTGAGTAATGTTTAAAGCTTATAAAATATTATTAAAAGTGAATTTTATAATATGTATGTTAAGAGGAAGTTTAAAAGATGTATTAGAACTTATTGTTTAGAATTTTTTTTAAAGAGAATACTTTAAAAAGTGTTTTTTCCCCCTTTAAGGTTAAAAAATATGAAAGAATATAGTGAATTTTATTGATATATATGATTATAGTCTGTAAAGGTTAATAAATGCAAACATAAATATATATTATTTTCCACAGCAAGGAAAAGCAGAGATGGTTAAATTGATTCTTTTATCCAAAGAAGAGAATATGTTTAATTTTGTTTCTATTCAGAAATCACTTCAGATTTTGTGCTTTGTGATGGGAAAAAAATGAAACTTTGATTTTGTTTTTGTTGATTAGATAGCGTTGTTGTTATAGAAATGGCTAGTATATAATATGGTATAAAAGTAAAAAAGCTGTAATGTTATTATCTAATATGCTAAAAAGAGTTGGAAGTCAATACCTTTTTTTTCTTTTTCCCTTTCTACCCCACATTTTCTATTCTCCCTTTTTTTCTTCTCCTAGTTTTCCATTGTTTTTATTTTGGTGATGATGATTAATTAATTTATAATATTTCCAGTTTTTTCTCACTTTGAAATGGAACATTTGTTTTCAAGCTTTCTTTTAGCCTTAGATTACAGCCAGCCATGCTGTCTCAGGAATTCTGGGAGTTGAAGTCCACGAGTCATAAAAGAGCCAAGGTTACCTATCCCTGGTCTAGTGGTTAAAACAATGGATTAGAAACAGGAAAAGAAATAATCCTGGTCCTACCCAGCTACAATTTCCTGCAGGAAATATTTTCTCTTGGGCCTTCTTAAAATGTTTACAAGAAAATTGCAACTTGTTCTCCCACAGAGTCAGGGCTGTCTCAGTGCAGACACATTCAGTCTTAACAGAGATTATGAATCTCATAAATCGGTAAAATAAATTTTCCATCTTATTTTTTTCTTTATTTTTTGTAAGGTTTTATACCCTATGTCTGTTTTTTACTTGTCTGTTGAAATTTTAAAATAGGTACACATTTAATTCTTCTTAAACAACAATATTTGATCAAAAAGTCTTATAAGACTGACTTTGATGTCTTTGTTTCTCAGACTATAGATTATTGGATTCAACATAGATGGAATAATTGAATACATTAATGTTATTATGAAGTCAGTGAATGATGGATGGTCAGTGATAGGTTTTAGGTAAGCAAAAGAAGCAGTAAACACAAATAAGAAGAAGACAATAACATGTGGTAGGCATGTAGATAAGGCTTTTTTCCTTCCTTGAACAGAAGGAATTCTCAGAACTGCAGAGAAGGCATGTACATAGGTGACAATGACAAAAACAAAACAGCCAGCTGTTAGTATAATACTAAACATTAAAACTCCAAATTTAGTTGCAAATGAAACAGAACAGGCAATTTTAAGTAAATATGGGACTTCACAGTAGAACTGATTAACAATATTAGAGCAGAAAGGAGAAATAAAAGTGACAATAGTGTGCAAAGAAGCATTGACAAGGCTGGCTATCCACACACTGCTAATCATTTTGGTGCAAGCTTTCCTGTTCATTATCATTTCATATTGTAAAGGATTGCAAATAGCAACATACCGATCATAGGCCATAACAGTAAGGGACAGAATATCAGAGCCAAGAAAGAAGACCAACAAGAGGACTTGAGCAATACATCCATAATAAGAAATATATCTGATATTCATAAAGGAATTAAAAACAGCTTTGGGGATAATGACTGAAACTGAGCCAATGTCTTGAAATGCTAAATTTATCAGGAAGAAGTACATGGGTCTGTGAAGGTGGCGGTCATATGCAATAGCAGAGATGATGAGAAGGTTCCCTATTATGGTCATTAAATATAGTATGAGTAATAAAATCACATGCATAATCTGTAACTCCCAAATCTTTGAGAATTCCCAGAGAAGAAACTCAGTTGTGTTATTATTCATTCTGAATAATGATATCCCTAGAAGGAAAAGAAGATTCATTTAAATATTTCCTATTCATTGCTGTTTTGAGTGAGTTGTAGAATGATAGGTCAGCTTTTAATGAAGATTATGTTAAAATTTATTCTCCAAATTTATGTAAAACAATCTGAAGAAGCATTATATCCTTGTTTGCTTAAATTTTATTTGATGATTTTTCAAGATTTTTTTAACTCTTGCAAGGTCTATAGTATTATTTTATAAAGCTTAGAGATAATTGATGTGGTTTTTTTTGCTTAGTTTCTATCGCTAAATTCTCCATAATTGGAAGCAAATGAAAACAAAAATTCTTCTCAAGTCTGATGAAAATTCCTGGAAGTTGGATTTGAATTCAAGTATATTCAACCATGTTAACATGCAGGATCCAATCTGGGTCGGTCACCACCATGGGAAGAGGTTTTGTCTTCCGAGCTTTTGGACTTGTGCTGGAGCCCCCATCCTCAGGGAACTTTTCTCTAGTTGCTACAGAGTTCTCTGAAGATGGGCTCCATAATGAATCTGAAAGCACAGAAGACTATACCCTCTGGTCCCAGTGTCCAACCCAGATTGGATCCTGCAACATTATCCTGGAACATATATATTTTCCTTCATTCATGTTAATATGATATAATTATAGTTCCCATCTCCTTCCCTTACAGCCTCTTGCCCTCCCTCTCTATCTCTTTTTCTCTTCATCTTCAATTGACACAATATAGGAAGATATATTGTGCTATGATGCATTCTGGTTGTTTGTTGAAATGAATTAAATGTACTATTATATATACATTTTCATAGTCATTGAACATGATTTGATTTTTTTAACAGAATAACTCTAAAGTTATTTTACTTTTATAAAGTCAGAATTGCCACCATTACTAAGTTCTTTTTTATTGTTACAGAAACATCTTATTCATGTTGAGATTAGTTACATTCAATTATTCTGGGAAGTGAGAATGGTTCATTTATTTAAGATATCATTTTAAAGTTTTTTCCTGAATGTTCCCTAGTTAACTATAGAATTAAATAGCAATAGCACTTAGACTTATATACTGCCCCATAATGCTTTACAGTATTCTCTGGGCAGTTTACAACGTCAGCATATTGCCCCCAACAATCTGGCTCCTCGTTTTACTGACCGCAGGAGGATGGAAGACTGAGTCAATCTTGAGCCCCATTAGGAGCCAGATTGTTGACCATTGGTCAGAATTTGCCTGCAATACGGCATTCTAACTACTGTGCCACCAGGGCTCTAAATTATAGCATTATTTTAAGAAATCCACAATTAGACTTTCTCATTTCTAGTTTGTGATATACAAAATGGGGACTGTGATGAATGGTTCCAAATCGTAGCCCTCCATTCCATTTGGCAACTTGATTTGAATCATTACTCTATTTAGATACTCATATTGGTTTCAAAAGTAAATGAAATGACTGTAGACATAACTCTAGGTTTTAAAGATATGTTAAAAAAGAGGAGATAATCAGAAAAAATAGAATATATAAAGACACAGTAAATCTACAAACTCATTCTTTAACCTAATGAACAACATTCGCACACATCCATCCATCCACCCCAAAAAGAAAGGAAAGGGAAAAAAGGGAAAAAAGGGCAGAAAAGGGAAAAAGGGCAGAAAAGAGGGGAAAGGATGGAAAAAGAGGAAAAGGTAAGGTAAGATAAGGTAAACTAAGGAAAGGAAAGGGAAGGAAAGGAAAGAAGGAAAGGAAAGGAACTTGTCTGAATAATGAAAGGAAGTCACAATTCACAATAGCAAGGAAAACAAGTGAGAAGGGAAAACAAAATAAAATAAAATGGATGTGGTGAAAGGATTTGCTTTCTACATTGTCACTATTAATTTAAGATGTATTAAGTTCTAGTGCTGTTTACTTTAATCTCTCTCATTAAATAAAAGTGCCTAAAGAATCATTTCTATACAAGCAGCTGATGCTTATATTATAATCTGTTTTGGTAAAATTATAACTGCAAGGGAAAGAGAAGGAAAGACACACACACATATATATATATATATATATATATATATTAAAAGGGGGAGAAATATTGGATAAATTCTAAATAAAATAAGCAAATGACTCACCATCTTTATTCATGCTGATTTTTATTTATTTTCCATATTGTCTTTCTAAAGCTATTAGTAAGAATTTATACTGTTTAATATTTCAGTGAAAGTTGATCTTATTTTTTCTTGCTATTTCTCCAAAGATTAAAACAAGTGTGTCTCCATGGACAGTACAAATAAGGCATTGTGAAATGATTTTTTTTTTTTTAATCAAGAAAGGGAGACATCTTAGGTTAATGCCCGAGGGTCTGTGTTTTTCTAAAAATATGGGCAGGATTAATTTGCAAGCTCAGTAACCAAAAATATATGAACACTATCCATTTTTAGGATTCCACAATTCAATCATAAGCAAAATAGGATATTTATGTTACCATATACATTCCTATTATTGTTTTCAACTAGCGTGCATGCTACACAAACACAACTGTTAATAAGAGCCCATAATTTTCATAAAAAAGGTCTGTTCTTTTTTTTTCCTTTATGAACTTTCTTCATAAAATTCATAGACTCATAAGAAATCTTTCACCCTCATGGACAGGTTGACTGGTTGATAGATTGATTGATCTGCAGGTCACCCATTCAGAGTAACTTTGGGTTTCATATTGATGAAAAACATAAAAAGGCAAAATAACATAATATTAAAAAAGGGAAAGATGACCAAATAGAGAAGTCACAACAGCAAAACAATCAAACCCACATTTCTGCAACATATCTTACCCCAAAGCCTGAAGAAACAACCAAGTCATCTCTTTTAGGATCTCTGAGGAGACATTGTTTCAGAGGTCAGGTGCCTCTGAAGAGATGACAGGGCTGCTTGATCCCATGACATAACATTGCTTAATAGATAGGATCAGAAATCTGATGTCTCTGTCAGACAAGAACAGGACAAGCAATTGCTACAGGAGAAAGGTGTTCCACTGTTATTTCAGGGATGAGTCACAAATGGTTTAGTATTTGACAACAGCACTGATTGCATCCAGAAGCGTACTGATTAACTCCAGAGTTCATGTAGCAAAGGACTTACCTGGGTATTTCTGTGCCATGTGTAGAAAGTAGCCTCACTTCTATTGGCTCTTCAGTTCAGATTTTTTTTTTTGGGGGGGGGGAAGTGTAATTGTTAATTAAAAATGGAAAATATGATATCCCTAATCTAGAAATGTATCATTCTTCATGATACCTACCTTTGGACCAATACTAAATTGTAATGGATAGCTTGGATAAGTTCCTTTCCTGACCCTTTTAAAACTTTGATACATAATGTTAATTACAAGTTTTTGGTTCAAAATACTAGAAATAAATTTGAATGCTAAGGATAAAGAAGTAGTAAAATACTATTGTACCAAATTTTGTGTATTACACTTTACAAAACTTTTAAAAATGGACTAAATTGTGATGTTTGAATAAGTCCTAGGCTCATATTATAAATATGATGAACTAATATTTTGGGGGAAGACAAACTATCATTTATACATCACAATGATAGGGAAAGATGGCCTGATACTATAGTTACATAAGTTGAATGACACAATAAACCACTTTAATTAATTAATATATATGTCTACATGTTCTCTTTACCCTCTCTTAGCTACACTTGGTATTTCACTTAGCTACAATTGAAATGTCATTCTATTATTGCTAACACTAATTAATATTTGAAATCCTGGTTTTAAGTTCTCTCTGAATTCTAACTACAATATCTCTACCAATATTAAATATAGAATATTAAATATAGCAACAATCACCATATCTGATTCAAAACTTAATGTAGATTAGAAGAAGGTCAGCTAGAATTGTTTAGTGCATCATTCATATTAAGGATGTGGAACAAATTCAGATATTATTGGATAACTGCATATTTACTGTAAACATATTTCCTTGAACAAGTAATAAATATGCCAAGGAAATACCACTGATATGTAAATTATTCAGATTCTGTTTAAGCCAAAAAAAATTAGCTTTGTTTTCTTTTTTTTATAGACTCTTTTAATATAAGAAGATTAGCATTTTGCATAAAGAGTGAGTTGAACAGCTTTATTTGATACTTCAACAAATAGAATCTTGATGCATAATTTTCCTTTTTTATAACTGATATAGAAATATATTTTATACATTTCTTGTTATTTTACCATATGTTGCTTATATTTATTGTGGTGATGGAGGAAGTTTATAAATAAATATTAAAAATGCAAAGAATTAAAACCTCAATAAAGATAGACAGTGAACAAATGTTTCTGTAAGCCATAAGTTTAAGATTTTTAGGAACTCCAAATTAATAGTCATATTCATTTAAAAAAATTCTCATATGGTGTTCTTAAATACAATTTGCAATACTTTTCCTAATGCTAAAAAACAGGATTATTCACTTTCAAATATATTTAATCTATGTTTTCTCCTAATAAATACATTGTTTATAGATTATCTGCATTGCATCTACATTAAAAATATAAAAGTTACATTTAATTATATTTTAATTCTAATTTCATATCACAGTTTTTTACAGTTCTGTTGTGATAATTATTTCCTAAGCTATAGCATCAAGCAAAAGATACAAAGTTTAGTCCAGATATTGCAACAGAGACAACAGTATTAAGTGGCCAGACCAGTTGTGAATTTCTATAGGAAATTAAGAAATTAGCTAGATCCAGAGCTCATGCTCCTTAAAAACAACAACAATAATTTCTGACCAAAAAGTCTTGATACAACAAATTTGATGTCTTTGTTTCTCATGCTATAAATTACTGGATTCAACAATGGTGGAATAATGGGATACATGATGGTAATTATGAAGTCAAAATGTGATGGTCTCTCAGGAACAGATTTTAGGTAACAAAAGCAAGAACAAAATAGAAATAAGGACAAGACAATAAGATGTGGCAGATAAATGGAGAAAACTTTTTTCTTTGAAGAAAA